GGAGAAGCTCGCAGGCGATCGGGGGGACGTCCCGTCAAGGGAGAAGCCCATAGATAATGAGTCCATAAAAGCAACGGAATACTTACTCCTGCTCACTCACGATAAAGGACTCTTTGCTCAAGTTCCCCGTCTCTGCAAGATTAACGTTGGCAATTTTCACGCACAGCTACTAGAAGATTCACGTCTGTCAGACAGGTTGCTCACGTCATCAAGCTTAGTTTGAGTCGGTCTGAGTCTGCGCGTCAGGAACGGAAGTTCTCAAAAATCGCTATAAGTGGGCTTCAACTGTCTCAACTGAGTTCCAATGAGATCGCTCTGTCCATTTCTTTTACTGTCTATGGCAACACTCAAGTCAAATTCTCTCATGCAGTGCCAACACTTGTTATAGCGCCCCTGGTGGTGTACATAGATTTCTCCCATATACACTCACACATTCACAAAATATAGCTGCCAACTCTCACGCATTGGCCGTGAGACACCCGCATTTGATTGGTTTCACACGCTCACACGCCACACTCCCGATTTCTCACGCTGAAGTGTCAACCCGGGCGGTCAAATGCCTGGAAGATGAGTTTATCTATATATCTACCTGTTGAGCCACTCGTGATCGACTAGTTATACCGCAAATTCGTTAAAAATCTCCCGTTATTTAGAGCGAGCGTGCATGCGAGACAGAGATTGTGCTCCAAACCGCATAGAGCAGTGTTTCTCAACCTCTCCTGCAGGGACCCCCTGACAGGCCATGTTTCTGTTTTAACCCTGAAATGGCACACCTGATTCAAGTCATTAAAGGCTTAATGAGTAGTTGACTAATTGATTAATTGAACTATTCCTACTCTAATTACTCATTAAGCCTTTAATTACTTGAATCAGGTGTGCCATTTCAGAGTTAAAACAAAAACATGGCCTGTCAGGGGGTCCCTGCAGGAGAGGTTGAGAAACACTGGCGTAGAGCGAGCGAGAGACCGCCCTCCCCCCCGTCAACAAATCTCACTCGTCTCTCGTCTCTACCCCCCCCCCGGTCAACAAATCTCACTCGTCTCTCGTCTCTACCCCACCCCCCCCCCCCCCCCCCCCCCCCCCCCCGGCAACAAATCTCACGCCGAGCAAAACTCAAAAGTTGGCAGGTATGAAAATATGAATTCTAAAACAGCACATTAGCAGTTAATAGCAAAGTTTTCGTTTATAATAATAATAATAATAATAACACAATTCATTAAAAAATCGGGAGCTTTTTTATTAATCTATGAGGCAAAACTGTTCTGAGTAAACAGACTTCGTATAATGTGAAAATGAAAACTCAATGTTATCGTTCATATTTATATGTTACACTAGGTAAATTAACGGCGTCTATACAACATTAAAATGTAACACCGTAAGAAGTGTTAAATATCTATAATGTCTCCGTCTCACTTTTTTTTTACCTCATTTTCCCTTCAGGCAGTTCGTCGGGCAGCCTTACAGCGCTGAAGAGCACATTGTACCGTTTGAAGGACCCTTTTCGGTTTCCGCCATCTAAGAGCTGGTGGTGAGTTACTGTCACGAACAAATAATAACGAAATACATATGATATTCGTTTATATATGCACTTTAACTTTATCCAGAAACATTTATATGTTTTATACACAGGTGGATTGCACATCAAGATGCAGATTTTCGTGAAAACCCTCACGGGGAAAACCATCACCCTCGAGGTGAGGCGCAGATGAGCCGCACGAGACAGCTCGACACTTTATTATTTGATTTAATTTCAGCGTTTGACTACGTGAGGCCAAATTATTGTGCATTTTAGAAATCTTCGAATACAATAGTATAGGATATGTAATGTCATAACGTAAGCAAAGGCCTTTTTTTATTGTTTTACGGAAGCCCTAATTAATGCTAATGCTATGTCATGTGGCACATTACAGGCGTCTGGAAACAAATGGAAAATGTGTCTACAAGTTGATGTTTTAAGGAAATAATAATATTAGGAATACATTTAAATACAGTTATGCATTTTTTTTTAACTTCAATTACCTCCCGTTTTACAGCTACCTTTATTTTATAGCTAACATGAATGTATGGGTAACGCTTTATAAGAAGGTTGAACAATACTTAGACAGCATTTATTTTAATGTTTGTGTTTACTAATACATTAAGGTTAAAAGTTGTATCTGTGATACGAACATAAACACTTTTAACTAACATCATCATGCCTAAAGAATATATTGTCCATTGTTAATGTTTGTTAGTTATTTAACTAATATTATCAAATGAGACCATATTGTAAAGCATTACCAATGTATTATAGGTGCCAGATGCAGTGTATGCATTAGTCTTTTTTACTTAAGGTAAAATAGGTATCAGTTTAAATTTAAAGATGTTAACTTTCAACAAAAGGAAAAAAAAAACTAAAAATGTCGGACAAAATCAGTTTGTGATTTGTCTCCTTTTACATTTGAATTGACTGAATAACTATTGCTTTAATGCCGGGTACACATTGAGTGATTTTGGGCTGTCCCAGACGAAAGATGACCAATCGTGGCGATTTCTGTGGTCATGTGAGAGAGGTTCAAAGATATCCTGCGATAATTTTCTGACAGTGTCATAAATTTAGCATGATCATCTCAGTGTGTTAGCTACTCGGTACGTTTGCTACTACTAGCCAGTAAACATGCAACATGAAATGGCGTATTGATCGACACGACACTGTGCTAAAACTACCCGCCTCAAGCTCCATTTGCCTCTTATCCCTAGCCATGACCATGTTTATATTCTCTTTTACTACCTCCTTTTTTTTCAGCACACATATAAACAACAATTGCCAAAGAGCGATTCATCTTGCTCTATTTCTTTACCACTAGCACATGCTTATGAAGTTTTCTTTTATACACACTTGTGCCATAGCCTACGATTCAATAGGTGTCATCATCGCGCAGTCTACATACATTTCGTACCCAAGTTTATTAGATCCATGTTGTACAGTGTGATTTGTAATATTTAGGATAGCTGAAATCGCTGCAGGCATTAGTGCAGTTTACTGTTATGTAATCTCTATTGGCCTCAATGTTTTATAGGTTGAGCCCTCTGATACCATTGAAAATGTCAAGGCAAAGATTCAAGACAAGGAAGGTAAGTTGTGTGCGTGATGCTGTGAACTACAAATTAATAGTAAGTGAAGACAAAAGACTGACTGCTAAATCTCTTGAATGCAGGAATCCCTCCTGATCAGCAGAGATTGATTTTTGCTGGTAAACAGCTGGAGGATGGACGCACCCTGTCTGACTACAACATTCAGAAGGTCAGTGAATAAAGATCCAAGCTGAATGCTCATTCAGATTTATAGGTTCTTAATCTTCATCATACTGCACTGCACAGGTTTTCAAATAATGTAATAGACTTTTAAGCATCCAAATGAACATTGCGCTCGTTCATCTAGGAGTCCACTCTGCATCTCGTGCTGAGACTGCGTGGTGGTGCTAAGAAGAGGAAGAAGAAGTCCTACACCACTCCCAAGAAGAACAAGCACAAGAGAAAGAAGGTCAAGCTCGCTGTGCTTAAATATTACAAGGTAGGTCACCTGTCAGGCATCAGGCATGCATTGTGTTCTGCTTCGGGAGTTGTCAATATGAACTAAGTTTTCTGTCTTGACCCTCAGGTTGATGAGAACGGCAAGATCCACCGTCTGCGCCGCGAGTGTCCCGCGGATGAGTGTGGGGCCGGGGTTTTCATGGCCAGCCACTTTGACCGTCATTACTGCGGGAAGTGCTGCCTGACTTACTGCTTCAACAAACCAGAGGACAAGTGAAGTACGGTCCTGACAATATGCCCTGTGCTACACGGGAGATTCTGTTCTGGAGTTTGTACTTTGTAAATAAAGTTGTGGCCTGCCACATTTAAAAATGAATCTCTTGTCTTCTGATTAATCCCTTGGTTTTTTTTTTAACCTATTACACTGACATGAATAAATAGAACTTTAATTCTTGGTAACAGGACATGCAAACTACTTTAGTAACAAAGTATAATTTAGAGGTTGTCCTTTTGCTTTGTAATATTCAGTCCCACTTTATATTTAGAAGTTTATATTTATATTTTAGTAAATTTGTTACTATGCACGTATTGTGTACTTGATTTTACTTTGTACTTGCATATTTTAAAAATAATTTAAATAATTATTAGATTGTGTAATTACACTTGACCCCACCCTTAAATCCACCCATGCCACCAAACCTGTCCTTAACCATACCTGTCACCCACCTTAATAGCAGCAAAAGTGTTTTGCAATAGAATATGAGCATAATAAATACTGTACTTATGAGGTCACCTAATAGGAAATGTGACCTAATATTCTTCCCTACCTACATTGTGACTTGTGTACACTACTGGTCAAATGTTTTGAATATTTGATTTTCTTTTTGTGAAAAGTCTTATGCGGAAGACTGGAGTAAGGATACTGAAAAATCAGTTTTGCATCATAGAAATAAAATGTAAAAATATATTTAAAAATCGTGTAGATTGTAATTTTTCACAATTTTACTGTATTTTTGATCAAATAAAACATCCTTGGTGAGCATAAGAGACTTCTTTAAAGAACTTTAATAAAAATAGTAATTATTCATTTACTTTTTTACCAGTATTATATGTATGTATGCATAATATATATAATATATATATTTCCGTCTTGACTTGATCCCTTTCAAGTGGGTTAAAGTACTGTTTAATGTATTATGAAAGCTCTATTGTGGGATAAAGGTTGAAATATTTACTTTGTAAAGAAAAGCCACCATGAAAACCTTTCAAAGAACACATTTTGAAAACACGACTCTTCCTCATTTTTTATTTACATTATAAAACACAATTATTATGTACACTCCTCAGTGTTCAGTCCTTATATGGAGAGTCAAAATGAAGTCAATCCAATTTTACTGTTTTTTTATTATCTGTTGGTGATGGTGTAGGATTGCTACAGCAAATATAGTTACATCTTTTGCATACGCATGTGTAGGCTACTACATGTATACAGTACAGTATACTGATGCGCCAACTGCAGTCCCTTAAAATCCTGGATCCCAAGATATTTTCTGTTTCAACTCAGATTCGGTGTAACAAACTATTTCATCCCCGGGTTTGTATTGTAGCTCGTCATTATCTAAAGAAAGGCCACATTCCATGCCTGTCCTCACCGTCTGAACATCATCCTTCAGATGTTTCATTGTTGTCAGTGATCCTGAAGGTAGAAAACAAATGAATGGAGAAATCAATTCAAACAGCAAACATTTAACATGTCAAAAACCCAAGCTGCATAACCATGGCATTTATCAGTACTGATGCATTGGTTTACCTTCCCAGAGAATCTCTCTTCCTCGAATAAGTCTAAATTTCATCTTTTTGTCCAGAAGGCCCTTCTGAACTCTACAGCCAGCCACTGGGATCTTCTTTTTCCCGACCGTCACATCAAACGTGGCCAGAACTGAGGCCTCGCCTGAAGCGTGAGGGGGAAAAGAAACATTCAAGGGCAAGAAAGACAAATAACCTCTTTTTTATATATACACACAAAGCACTAGTTTGTTTTAGTCAATGACTTATCAGCAGAACTTTGACATTCACATCACAGAAGTATTTTTGACTAATTGATCATGCTTTTACTTGCATCTCCATTTAACACATTTTATGATATTTAAATCTCATTTTACAGATCAAAATCAGCACGAGAAAATCTGTAGATTATATCTGAGCCTGGGCATCAGGGGAAAATGACTGGTGAAGTCCGCCCACAAATGTTGGCTTAGTCATTTCATGAGCTAAAGAATCAACCCTTAACCACCTGGCTGTGTTCCGGACATTTTGACCCGAGATAAGATTTTCTTTTTCCCGAAAATGCTAGGTAATGTTATCTCATTGGACTAAAACTTACTGACTTGACTGCCTTACTGACACAGGGTATAAGAGTGCAACAGTAGGGTGCCTGAAGGAAAAAATCCATTCAATTTCTCCATAGGGAAATTGATTTTTAACGATAACTTCTAATCCTTTAAAGACAGACCTGCTGTGAGCTTCGCGGTTTGTTAATCCATGGTATTTGCTTCTGTTGAAGCGGTTAGCCTGCATCATTTCAATAGGCTTTATGCCGAGTGTCACGTGACCAAGCCGGAAAACAGATCACATCGCTTCCGATTCAGGTCTTTTGTATGTGCTTCATGACATTTTTTGCGGTTTTACTCAAGATAACTTAAAAGGAGCAAGCAAAAATGAGCATAACCAATGTCCCTCGCATGTGCAGATTGATATTTAAAAGTTTTTTAATTTTTTTTCTTCACACTAACGTTTAGATATTTAAATAGCATAAAACACCAATAACAAAGTGAACTTAGTAGGTTAGCTGATTACCTTAAAAATCCATAGATATCGTAGTTAGTTCTTACGGCCGTTAACACTTTCTCTGACAGGCGGATGCAATGAGACCTGTTTTCCGGTTTGGTCACGTGACGCTCGGCATAAAGCCTATTTATTTTTTTAAATAAACGTGTTTAACAGTGTAATTCCTGGTGAAAACTACATTAACCATGATGCTCTACAGACATTTCCACCAATCAAAGAGTTGAGACAATAGATATCCATAATAAAGGCTAGATGTCTCGTCCGCGCTGCTGGCCAATGGAGGTCGATGTCCGCACCTGGCGGCCATCTTGTCACAGGCAGCTCGCTCAGTCGTAACATTGTGTTTTAATGGTGCATGTACTTTTTAAATAACCATAACTTGCTCAATTTTCTACCGATTTTCAAACGGTTTGTTTTGATATAAACGCCAGAGATGTAGTTATGACACTGCATGCTTATGAATAATAAGTGTATAAATAAATAATCATCCAGAATTATAGCCACGTTAATAACGTTTGTAAGAAACCAAACCGTTTGTAAATCCGTCAAGATTTCAACGAGATAAGAGTATTAGTGTTAGTGCTGATCACTCATCTTACATCAGGCACCACAGAGCCCGCCAGAAAGCTTGCCTGTGACAAGATGGCCGACAGTGATGACGATAGAGACTCCGCCGTAAGACATCTAGCCTTTATTATGGATATCTATGGTTGAGACAAGCAAAACGTGACAAAAGAGCCCTTTAGCTCCGCCCACTCCCATGAAGCACTGCACATGACGCAATCGAGTCGGTTTCCCTACGCTCTCAAAACATTGAAATATTTGTATATATTTCTTATTCGTTTTTTAATTTGATTATGCTCTTCGTATACATACCTATACTTCATGGGATTGTAGTTCTTTCCCTCACTAAAGCCATTAAGAACACAGTCTTGTACCTTTGTATTTTTGTCCAATTTTCAAATACTTTTTTGCTTCAAATCAAAGTTTGTAATGTTATGATTGACCTTGTGGCTGGTTGGCTTGATTCATGGCTTATAATGGTTTAACAATGTTTTGTATTTCTTTTTGGAAACGATTGATCGTAGGCCTCATTGATCTGAGCTTATGTGCCTCCGTTTTTTGTTTTTTTGATGTGAATAAGCTTGAGAATTGAGTCTCAATTGAAAGAAAACAGGTTGACAAATGGTAAAATGGTAAATGGACTGCATTTATATAGCGCTTTCACAGACCCAATGGCCACCAAAGCGCTTTACATTTGCCTCACATTCACCCATTCACACACTCATTCATACACCGACAAAAAGATTAAATCCAGTATTTGGTGATAATAACATCATAATGAGAGATTGGCAAGCAATTTAAAAGGCCGGTCATTTTTGACCCGGTCCATCAAGTAAATGATTTTCAGCACATGTTAATAGAACAAAGTTCAATGTTAAAATCAACGTGTGATATTAAAGTTAAACTCACCAACGATATTTTCTTCAGTGGTTGGGGACAGTTTGCTGCTCAAGTCGTCTTTCAGTTCGTCTATGAGTTTGTAGATGACTCTGTGTAATCGTAAGGGAATGTCCCTCTTAGCAGCCATCTGCTGAATCGATTTATTTGCATCAACATTGAAACCATATATGATGCCTGACCAATGATGGAGAAAAAGAGAGAATACAAGAAAATGACCAAGTCTGACACTTTAACAAGGCAAACAAATAATGACAACAGTAGCAGTCAATTCAAGGGCTGTAAATGAGTGGTTCTCAACCTTTTAGACTTCAACGCCCACCTGTGCCAAAGGCAATATTTGAAGATCCCACTAGATTTGCTGCTGATTTTCATATTGCTATATTTATAGACATTTTGAGTGGCAATATATATACACAGTATATATATATATAGGGCTGGCAAAATTAACGAGTTAATGCACACCGCCAACTTGCTTACCTGAGAACGTCTCTGCCAAGGTGATGTCTTTTTCTGTGATGTCGCCCACACCAAAATGTACCACATCCAACTGACACTGGTCATCAGCATCATAACTTTCCAGGATGTTCAAAATAGCCTCCACTGAGCCGTCAACATCCCCTAAATAACCAGACGAGTACAGCCGGTCACAATATATTCTTAGCATTCTGAATAAAATAATACAGGGAGGAACTTCATTTTGTCCATCATGATATAATATTATTGGTAAGTCACAGTAAAATAGAAGGTAACATTTTATTTTAAAGGTCCATATTAGACATTCTACTAACTATAAGTAACTTTGCAACTACATGTAAGCTCTCATTAGAGTATTAGTAGACTGTTTGGTTAGGGTTAGTAGAATAAGTTGACATGTAGTTGCGAAGTTACTTATAGTTAGTAGAATCAATGTCTAATCAAAATAAAGTGCTAGCATAATTTTTTATCTTTTATAATTTTTGCCTCTATCCAAACAATGGATTGAATCCCGCCCCACGTTTTTTCTTTTTCAATAATCCGTTTCACTCGGATGTACGTCACACTATGGAAGATTTGTCGCTGCTTTCATTACTGTTTCCCACCTATTAAACTTTGTTGCATTTCAGAGACTGAGAAATGTATTACATTTTTGATGAAAATAATTTAGGCAATATATAAACTGTGCACAATAGAGGTTATTTAGAATAAAAAATATATATATTTCACTTGCTCTTACTGTCAACAGCCCTGGTGAAATGAAGAATCATCATCTCACCTTTGATGATCACGGGCAGCGTGAGTTCCTCCATGTCAGTTTTCTCACTGGCCCGGTGGATGAGTTTGTGTTTGTTGGCCCGGTACATGGCCGCCCTCCTCTGTCTCCAGGAGAGATGGGCCATGCTCTCCCGCTCTCTCTTGTAGCTGTCGTCATGCTGCTTCTGCTTGGCTTCGATGACCTGCTGGTCTTCTTTCAGCTTGTCCTGCTCTTCCATGTAGCTGCGCCACTCCACCACCTCACGGGCCCTTTGCTAAGAGAACGAACTATGTGAACTACGCCAGTGTGGAGGTTAGCCAGTCATAACATATATCATTTACAATACCAGAATGTAAATATGGTTAGCATAAGAGACTTTTTTCCCGATACATGATTAAAAAATCGTAATCAACCCAAACTTCTGACCGGTAGTGTATAACATTTAAGATAAAAAAAAAAAAGCTACAAAAGTGTAGAATATGACTCTTTAAAAACACAAGCTTAAGGATACCTCTGATTCCACCTCCAGGATCTCCTCACCAGCAGAGGGAAGATCTTTCCAACCCACGATCTCCACAGCGATGCTGGGCCCGGCCTCACACACATCCTGATCGTGCTCATCAAACATGAAGCGCACTTTAGCCCAGCACTTTCCTGCCACCAGCGTACAGCCCTTCCTCAGAGTGCCACGCTGGATGATGGCCGTGGTGACAGGCCTGTGAAACACAACAGCTGATGTGACTGATGCCTTGATGGCAGTGATATAAGTGTAGTTCTTATTGATCTCTCACACTGTAAGGACAGGTCTCGTTTACACTCACCCTCTGCCTCTGTCTGTGCGGCTCTCGATGACCGTCCCTTCTACCAGGCCTGTGGGGTCACCCTTCAGCTCCAGGACCTCTGCCAGTGCCACCGTGGCTTCAGCCAGCTGTAATAGATTATCCCCCTGCAGAGAAATTACACTCTAAATGCTGCCATGTTCACATATAATAATTCCAATATCATGTGATGAGGTACTACCGTCACACAACTACATATGGATTGGAGAGTGAGCAAAATAAACCCTGACAAAACCCCAGACTCCCCAAAAATATTTAGACACCTAAGCCACGGCAAAAAAGTATAAATGTTATTGCATTAGACGCAAAAAATTATCAAAAGTGGCTTTTTTTTTTTTTTTTTTTGCAAGATGTTTTACAAAAAGAAGTTTCTTGGGTTTTACATGATAAAAACTCATACTGTTCAAAATTAAGACAAATGTTTGGACACTTCCTGGTTGTCACATGTTATAAGAACAACTTTAGAACAACTACACCTGTGGTTACTCTGCTAAAACTAACTTCATACAATTACAAACAATCACCTTGACAGTCGGTTAACCGTCTTAGCAAAAATGGCTCAAAAAGGTAAAATGATTTCTGAGAAAAGCTTGTACAGCATTTGTACTGCTAGGTTTGATATTTTTCTATTATGTGACATTTTATCCAGTGACATTAAATATTTTTAAAGGCCCACTGAAGCGCCTTGAAACAAGCTATCATTATTCAATGTGTTGACGTAATTTCTGAAACAGGAAGAGAGGGCGGGGCATATCAAATAGCTCCTCCCCTTTTTAAAAACAGTCAATAGCGTTTAGTTTATATCACAGCTCGTTCAGAGCCGCTGAGCTCGGTAAAGCTCTAACCGTTTCTACTCTAATCTCTTCCATATCGCTTTAAAGTACAGCATTCTGAGGAGAATGGCTCCGATATTTTTTCTGGTCTGCGTCGACTCACGCATATGATCCGCTCTGTGCTGTCGTGTCTCTGGACCGGAGCAGACTGTGTGCGCGCTGTGGCGGTTCACGTGACACTAACGTGAAACCAGTCTTCATTCTCCCCAATGGAAAACATATTTACACAGTCTGAATCGTTCCCTATCCCCTATTTAGTGCACTATGTGTTATGTAGTAAATAGTACATGTGTGAACAAATATCCGCCGCAGCTTTAGCATCAATTTATAATGTAGGAGGTGGAGCTTCAGATTCTAGAGAGCATTTGATTGGACAGAAAATCTGATGAGAAGCTGAAGCGCAGAGTGATGTCATCAAAATCATTGATCCATATTGGCGGAAGTGAGAGACTGTAAGTTTTGAATGCTTATATCTATATAAATGCGTATTTTGTCATTGTTTTGGAGCCCACTAGCTTATAGATAACAGTTAGGTTAACATGTTCATACTACAAGCCAAAAAACTTCAATTTTCAATTTATGGGGACTTTAAGGGTGGCATAAGAGAAGTTCAAATATAAGGCCTTCACTGTACCTTTAATGCAGACACATGGATGGCCTGTATTTCCCCACCAAACTCCTCACAGACTACTTCATGTCCTACAAGCTCCTCTTTCACACGGTGCGGGTCAGCCTGAGGTTTATCACATTTATTCACAGCGATGACGATCGGCACTGCAGATAAAAACACACATTGAATCTTCATACACACAATAAACAAAACAACTCCAGCTGGATCTCAAAATGTATTTTATATATATAAAATAATGTATAGCTAGTCCAAAATGAATAAATGAATGAATATGAATATAAATTAATTAATATAAAAATCTAATTTTCCTAATAATTTTTAAATTGCGACTACCTTTGGCTTTTTTTGCATGCTGTATGGACTCAATTGTCTGTTTCATCACACCGTCATCGGCTGCCACCACCAGGATGACGATATCAGTGACCATGGCTCCACGCGCCCGCATGGCAGAAAACGCTGCATGACCAGGTGTGTCCAGAAAAGTGATCTTTTCACCCGAGGGCAGCTGAACTGAACAGGACACAGACTCATTTTATCACAAGTCCTTTACTTGGTGGTACAGAGGATGCCAAACACGGCATTTGTCTGAAAGAAAGTACATACTGTAATCTTGGGAAAGAATTGATTGTTTTTAAAGGAAATCTGCATTTCGTCTTTAAGTTTAACCCTCAGAGACCCAAGCATTAATATTCATGATCCTTGAAGTCACCATGCATCTTAAATTGACCAACCTTTTTTTTTTGCCTAAATTCAATCTGTTTATCATATAAAGCGAACAAGTCTCTTCAGAAAATTTGGACAAAACCAAAATTCATATGGATTAGTTTTATGATCTCTTTATGAACTTTTTGAAGCGTCAAAGTGGTAGATGCGTAGCTGTCAATGGAGGGACAGAAATCTCTCAGATTTCATCAAAAAGATCTTCATTTGTGTTCTGAAGATGAACTAAAGTCTTACGGGTTTGGAACGACATGAGGGGGGAGTAATTAATGACAGAACTTTTGGGTGAACTATCCCTTTAAGCCTTTTCCCATCACTAAATACTAAGTCAAATACTTACTTTGTAACTAGATCATTTGTTTTTGTGTGACTTTAGCAAGCTCTGGCAGTTAATGTTCAACTCTTTCCCCACCAAAACTGTTGTGACTGTTGTCAAAACTTATTTTTCACCCATATTTAGTGAAGTCAAGGTATTATTTAATTGCTTTATACAAACATTGCAATTGTGCAACACTGGGTCTCTGAGAATAATCAGAAAATCATAAATGGCAGTGATATGTTGATGAGTTCAGTACCCCGGAAGGCTCCGATGTGTTGTGTGATTCCTCCCGCCTCCTGAGCAGCGATCTGACTCTTCCTCAGGCTGTCCAGAAGGGTGGTCTTTCCATGGTCTACATGACCCATGATGGTCACCACTGGAGCTCGAGGGACTAACTGAGCGGGATCTGGGGGAGGCCTGACAATTCAAACAGGTTTTTAGAAATCTCTGAAAATTATACATGTAGAAAACGATACAAAAGTCAGACAGCTGTATTATTAAAATCGTCCTCACGTTTTCTGGATATCTTTGTTTTCTCTGACTTTGGTTTCAACCAGTTTGGCCCATTTGTGTTTCATTCCCGATCTCTTTACTGCCTCTTTTATCCATTTCTCCTCCAGCAGTGTGTCGGGCTCCAACTCGTCCAGATCGACTTCTGTGTTGAGCAGGGCTTCATAGACGTGATCTAAAGAGGGGGGACGATACAGATATAACATCTGTGATCACCATTTGGGGACATTCAGAAAAAGAAATTAAATTGCACTAAATTGATCAAAAGTCTCAGTTAAGACTTTTACAATGTTACAAAAGATTTTTTTATTTATTTAAAATGCTGTTCTTTTGAACTTTCTATTCATCTAAAAAAATGCATCACTCTTTCTACAAAAGTATTAAGCAGCACAACTGTTTTCAACATTGATAATAATAAATAAATGTTTCTTGAGCAGCAAATCAATGTATTAGAATGATTTCTGAAGAATCATGTGACACTGAAGACTGGAGTAATGATGCTGAGAATACAGCTTAACCATCACAGGAATAAATTACATTATAAAATATATTCAAATAGAAAACAGTTATTTTAAATGGTAATAATATTTCACAATATCACTGTTATCACTGTATTTTTTAAATTATTATTTAAATAAATGCAGCCTCTGTGATTATTCCAAACTTTTGACCTCCAGAATATTAAAAAAGAAAGCAGTTCTTAAAAATTTTAATAATATTTCACAAGATCACTGTTTTTTGTGTATTTTTCATCAAACAAACACAGGCTTAGTGAGCATAAGATACTTCTTTTTTTAAAACATGTTGTCATGATGTATATATATAGCTTGAAAAGACAGAAACTCCATCATAAGCTCATCTGATTTAGATCAACACTCACCAATGTCTTTATTCATGGCCTTGGCGAGTTCAGCCACAGTCATCCTCTGTTTGATCTCCACCTCCTGCTTCTGTTGTTTCTCTGGCTTCACTGGTTTCGATTTGAACTTCTCACCTTTGAATTGGCCCTTATTCTACAATAAAACAAACGCAACATGTTTTGCTCACTACATGCACACAAGGCATCCAAACAATCTGGTTTGTGCTGTAATCTGTAATCTTGTGATCTACATGGGAATGCGGTGACCCTTCTGATAAGCATTAGTGAAGGGTTCAACATTTTGAGGCTGACCTGTTTTGCAGCCAGGTGTCGGACCTGAAGACAGGTGGACGACGGGGGTCCAGGGACCCAGGCAGGGGGAAGACATGGACTCCCATGATGCCAACAGGACCACGCAGTCCTGCCAATCAAGCCTGATATCCGCTTCATTGCAGATTTTCTAGTTATAATAAAAAAAGCTTCAAAGTTCATATTCGAACAATGAATATAAAAATATAGCGTTGATCCAGGACAAGGTCAGTACAATGACTACAATTAACAATTGCACTATATCTTAAAGACAAAACACTTTTAAAATGATGAGAGGCATCATGAATAGCAGTATAAGTTAAATAACTTGTAATAACATGCAAATGTTATGATACAACAAATTAATCTAATACTAAAGTTGATTACTCACTTTGTACTTTGATACCATGGTTCATTGATGCTATAATACCATGAAAGTTTGATAAATGCAATGGCACTGAATGATTAAAGAACACCATTGTATTACCATGGCAAATATGTTCAAATAAAATGGTATTACCATGAAAAATGTCATCATCATCACCATCTTCATCATAAAAATATTGTCATACCAAGGTACTTGTTGTATCTTTCATATAATGCTGACATTATACAGTAGCTCAAGGCAGATTACCAGACATTTTCCTGCATGTGAGAAACTTACTAAACAAGAGAAAATACACTTACCGCTGAATTCATTCAGTATACAGAAAGGAAAGCAGAGACGAAAAGATAATCAGTTTAAGCAAATAATATCTCAAGTCAGATGTCATTTCTGCTGTATGGGCGCCGCCATGACAGTGTATCCCACAATGTATTGCGCAGACTGCAGTTCTCACACACACACACACACACACACAAAACACGCGGTGGCGACAAAATCCACAGAGTCCATGGAGCTCCAAAAACACAATCATATAGATATATAATAAGAGTAAAATTAACTGTAAACATGCATAAAATACTCAGAAGCATTTGTAATAAAACATGTGTAATACCCAACACAGTATATTTTTAACACATCGTTTTATACATATTTTTTATATTTCATATCTTGTCTATTAATACATGTAGGCTACATCTTATTTATAGCCTTGGCTTGTAGCCTATTTATATGCGTTTTATATTTATTTATAAAAGCTTTTTCGGTGTACTGGACGCTTTACCAAGACAATATCTTGCATTATAGCTATCAATCTGATTCTGAAACCATGCATTGTATACTTTTTTCTTTTTCTTGCCTTCTTATTTTATTTTAAAAAAAAAATTATTTGAAAATGTGTGTAAATATGTATCTAATTTAATGTTACCAATGTTTTGGCAATGCAAAACCTCTTCAACCATGTCAAAAATGCTACTTGATCTCGAATAGGAAGTAGGCTACTGGTTACTTTTCTCAGCGCTCCTCCGGACGAACCAATCACAGTCTTGCGAGATAAATGATTGTTTGTTTGTTTCTCCTCGGTGGATTTCTATTTGTCCTTCAGATACAATCAAAATGTGTCCAATATACTGACATTTAAATGAGGATTTCTGAACCACCAAACGCCCCTAAAACCACATTTTGTCTTACAGTAAAGTTGTTTTTTATTTAATCAAAAAATCATACAATCTTTTTATATATGTTTTAAATCACTTCTGCTAACAAATGCAGGAAACATGAGCACAAAGCACCACAATATGAGCAAACAAAAAGGCAGTTTTCATAATTTAGAAGGAAAACACGATAAAATTAGATAAAAAGCAAGATACACAGGTAACCTACTCTTGAGATATTTACTGGTTTGAACAAATACTAGGTGCATTTATGCTAAAAATAAACAACAAACCACAGACACACTATTCTGCAGGATAGGAAAAATGACTGTAATATACAGTAGTCAGAACAAATGAGCCACAGTTTTGATGCTACATGCACAGAGGGACTCTTGTATTTCTTTCTTTTTTATTTTACTTTCATGCAATTTGTAATTTGAAAAAAGTGAACATAGAATAATTTAACACATGAAATGCAAACAATTCAAAATACATTTAAAAAAGAAAGAAAGAAAGAAAGAGAGACAAAATAAGGAAAATAAATAGGCCTAAGTGTCAACCAAACCAAGACAAACTAAGAGTTGTAGTTAAGGATTGTTCAAAGAAAAGGATTGTTTGGATTGTCACGTGTCCGGGTTTCTCAGAAGCGGTCAGAAGTTGGGTAAACTTCTATAGCGGTGAATGAGAGACTACATTACACATTTTTTTTGTGTTCCCATTTGCTCAAAATAGCAAAAGAAAAACTTATACAAATTATAGGGTTTTCACAACTTTCAAAAAAAGGACAAAAATAGAGGGAGATTGATAGCAGTGATCAGAAGAGAGAAGGATGTAATTTTTACCATCACTCCCAAAGCCGCTGTATTAGAAAAACACTAGTTTCTCGTAATTTGATGCAAAGGTAATATAACACAAAGCATAGTGTTATAATTGTACATAAACCAAGATATGGTGCAAAGAAGTCTCCATATAAGTTCTTGTTTTTAATATTTATAAGCAATATCACAGAAGCAAGAGTATTTTTTCGTTACTGAATGAATCAGCTTTTTTGAACGAATCGTTTGACTGAATGATTTACTGACTAACTAGTTAAGACAATGGTTTGCCGCTACCTACTGGCGGTTTTAGAATAATTTCATTTTAGCTGAGGGACTGAGGGAAGAAGATTGAATGCTGTTTTTGTTTTCGGTCATGATTGTAACAATAGTTTTGGGTTAAAGAAACAGAATGCCTTTATAAATAGACTATTAAGAGAGAAATATGAGTTAACATTGTAATAACAGATATACAGTATTTGAGGTCGCATTGCAAACATTGTTTTTGCTATTCTGGGGGTGGGACTGTTTCTTTGAAACGGGCCTCTGAATTGCAAAGGCCGCCCTTGCCCATAATGTTTTCAAATTGATAAAATGGAATGTTTCCTTAACGTTCACAAAAAGTTTTTTTTTTTTTTTTACATTCAGTAAGGACGTTTTCAAAAACGTTCAGGCAAAACGTTCTTAGACCATATTTTTGTTAGCTGGGCTTGTACTTGACTCACTGAAAATTGTGTTTGTAAAGACTGAATCTATGGTGAATTCTGAATCAAAAAGGTGCTCTGGTTTAAGGTCTTCCTCTTCCAAGACAAGGCTTCCTTTTAAAACCTCGTCACTGTGGTCAGGTTGAATCATATGAGGATCAGCAGCGTTCTTACTCGACACTGATCCCACTGACATAGTGCTAAGGACACTGGCACGGCGACTGTTGCCCTCTGATGTGGAGATGACACAGCTGGCGCGGGGTAATGTGGACAGAGCCTGGCCTGATTTGGGGCTTCGCATTGGAGTGGCAAAGCAGTTCAAACACCCTGATACGGAGGAGGACTTCCCTTGCGTCTCGAGAGCAGTTTTAGGATCAGACTCTGTACTTTGCACGCTCTGAGTTTTATACAGTCCAATGTTTGCTTTGTCCAGCTTTTGTGCTGAACGATCTCCAGCGGATCTCCCACTGCTGGACCTCCGCACCGCACTCCCAGAGGAGCAGTAACCCTGCCTGAGCTCCTCGTGGTTGGGCCGAGCTGGTGAAGGCGAGTCACTGACTCGTTGCCGATTGGACGGGAATGGATCTGGAAGGGTGCTGCTATCACTGGACCAGGCCTCGTTCTCCAGGCTCACGCTAAACTCACCACTGCTCGCACTCGGGGCACGACTCGATTTGCCATTCAGCCCTGCTGAACATGTCAATTAGAGGAAGTTACAGCGCAACAGGATCATAAAACTCTCAGAAAGTTAATTTTGGTCTACCAATAAATTCTTACCATGATCTTGGCTTTCTGTGCCATTTGCAAGACTTGGTGGAATTGTGTCTTCTTGGAAATCTTTACCTGAAGGGACAAATGTGTAAACACACAGTTAGGCCCTGTTTACACCAGGTATTAAGATGCGTTTTGGTCGATTGGATCACAAGTGGACGACGTTAAATACAGGTGTAAACCGGGTCTAAAATGTTTTGAGCTTGTCCACTTTCGACCACTTCCAGAAAACGCGTTCGACCGGATTGCTTTCGTAGTGTAAACGCTCATGTGGTTGAAAGTGTTCTAACAGCCACAAAAGACCGTCTACTCTCCGTCTACCGACCTAATGTGTAAATAGTATGGGAAGAGCTCTAGCCAGATGGGATTTAAACTTTGGCTGGAGACCCAAGTTTGGTTTGAAGATGAAAAATGTACCAAGCACAATGTTCTCTCACCATTCCTGATATCTAACACACATTCACAGCGTCCGGCTGGTCTTGCGGCTGTATTTTTCCATCGTCTCTGGGCACGTTCATATGTAAATTGCTTATTTCGTCCATTTGATTGAAAGATCTGAAAGAAATTCATACATGTACCTGCCCATAGACTTTTCCCTTTAAAGAAGTCAGGACAGAAGTGGTTGAAAGTGGACAAAAGAGATGAATTAAAACACCAGGTGTAAACGGGAATGTGCCTCTCTCGTCTACTAGTGATCCGATCAACCAAAGCGCATCTTAATTCCTGGTATAAACAGGGTCTCAGATACTCATGCACTGTATTCCAGTTACTCTTAAGACACATCTATCCAGACTGAATAATGTCTCTTTATGACTTTTATCTTGCAAAGCATTGAAGCACCAAAGCAGTGAAATGGTGCTAAGGTGTTATTGGTTTTTATAATGTTCCATGGTTGTTTTGGTGATTGCCATGGTATTGCTCTGAAGTGTTTTTTAGCATGTTGCTATGCAGTTGCTATGATGTTCTGGGTTGCCAATTTGTTCATAATGCAATTGCTAAGGTGTTCTGATTGGTTTTTAGCATGTGCCTATGGTTTTTTGGCTTGCCAAGATGGTGCTATGCAGTTGGTGTAACTATAGTGTTACCATGGTGTATTACTCTTGTGTGCATGTATTTTATGCTTGTCGTCCGTTCATCATCATGTGCTTCTGCTATGATAAATAGACATTCACTCTTGCATTGCGTGCACATTCCAGCGATCTGGGTTCGAGCCCAACTCGGGACAGGGCGATTAGGATTGGAGGGTGAGCTTTGGAGGCGGAGCAATGAAGAGAGGGGTGTGTTTGTTTGGGTTGATTTCAAATATCAACAATGTTCAGCAATGACTTTGAAAAATAACATACTGCACCTTTAACATTAAAATGTAACGTCGTCTGATGATAAAATGCATGTTTTTAATGTAACCTTCTCCCTTTAAATACTTTGGTCAGTTCAAGAATACTTTATGCACTTTATATGATTTATTTGAAAGAATTTAAAGAGCAGTTTAATGTATATCCCTGTATTGTTCAACTGGTCCAGGTTGATATGGGAATTTAGAAAGTATTAAGTAATCCAATTACACTGTCGAAGATGTAATTAGTAGCTAGTAATTAAATACTTTTTTAGAGTAACTTACCCAGCACTGTTGTTAACGTGTTATGTGGCTACTTACTGGCTAAAATAATCACCCCTCAACCACAAGACTTATGATCTTTTTGTCCCTCTGCTTTCACACGCAAGTCTGATCACTTGTGGGATTAGTTATGCACCAAAATACTTTTAGGGGAAGAGTTGAGTTTGTTTAGATCACTCATAAGTATGAGCAATAGTAATAGTGATGCTTGTCACAAACACCATTAATGCCAGATGAACTGCAAATATCTATGCCTTATGTACAGTTTTGACTTACAACCTTGATTATGTATTGTTGTATGATTGTCTATGGAAGAGTAGGGTTGAAATGATGATGATGATGTGGAGTGTTTTTTTGAAATGGCAATGGTGTGCTGCATTATTTGC